TTTAAATCAGCTGTGATGGATCAAGGACACGTCTAAAACCTGCAGGACACCTCGAGGCCTGGAGTTGGACTCCCCTGTTCTAGTCTGTGTTTAATGGCAATTCAAGCTTATTTAAAAGCTACAATTTCAAATATTTTACAAATACAAGTTAATCTAAATCATTAAACTCAATCTTGTTTGGTCTTAAATTATGCTGTGTGGAAATGCCGAGCCCCCTGTAAGGGTTGGGATGGGGCTCGTGGATAAACAGTTGGGAAAATGAATGAATGGATGGATTTCCCAATTAAAATCTTACTATGCAAAAAGCCATAGAGTGAGTTTTCTTGTTTATCTGGTCAGTTAAAGATTTCCAGTTTAGTTCCTGTTACTCTGAGGTACAAACGTCACATCCGCAGATTACTGTGTGATAACTGACAGTACAACGCTGTGAATGCAAAACAACTGTTGTGTCATCACTTCAGACTGGCCCACTCCAGGGACCCCACGTTCACACAGAGCTAACTGGAGTCCCGCTGATAAGGCCAGGATGCAGTGAAGGCTACACCCACCTACACGTCACGCTGTCAGTGAATTGGCAGTGATTATTGACGTTAATTCAAAGCACACATGACCGAAGCCAATCCCAGCTTCACGAACGACGAGCTGAAAGTCAGTTTTTCTCAGCCGTTTAGTTTTGTGCCGTAAAATGACAACAGCAGGACTGAAACAGGGTGACAAACACAAGCGGAGCATCCGGTTAATGTGCGCACACACACGTAAATGCTTTACCTGAAGAACTTGGTTTACTTTCCGAGCCCGTGAGTTCAGTGAAACATCCTTTTGTTCGCTCCCTGCTGCTCTGTCGTCTCCTCGGCACAAAGTCTCCTGAAGTTACGAAACGCGCTGCTGCAGCCGCTCCATCTTGGACGTCACCGAGGACTTTTTATGCTTTCACCGGGAAAAAGAGTTTGTTAGAGGCCAAGCAGTCTTTTTCCATGTTGGGAGTTAAGAAAGAAGCGGTACATGAGAAGTGGCAGGAAGCACCCCCTCCCCCCCACACCGCCTGGCCTCAGTATGAGAGGAATGTCCATCCTCCCGCCCCCTCCTTAATGGAAACTGGATGAAAAAGTTTTTGGAGCAGGGAAATCCCTCCTTCTCTCTCCTGCTCTCCAGACTGGGCTCTAACAAAGGTCTAAGCAGCAGGAAAAAGTTAACACAGCACAACTCTGCGCCCGAAGTGTGTCATCAAACACGATCAAGCGTTAGTTTATTAACCTCGCTCACGTGAAAAAGCTGGAAAAGTGGAAGAAGTGACAAAGAGGGCTTTGTTTCCCAGCACAGCTCTGCTACATTTAAGGGCTGTCGGAATTTCGTGAGAAGGTGCACATATGTTGGTTTTGCTTCACGTCAGTCGGCCCAAATCCACATAGTCATTTAGCACCATCAGTTTCAAGCCCTGCCTCGACCCTGTGACGATAATAATGGGTTACTATCAGTCATTAAACACGTCCTGTGTACAGAGGACCAGGTTGCTGTGAGCTAACAGTGCTAACCTCCACAGTGCTATGGTGGGCTTCAGGGCTGCTTCATCATGTGATTTTCATGTTTTTACTTCTTTTCACTTACTGGCATTTTAGCTTTGCCTGCCTTTCAGCTTCCAGCTCATTTCTGTGAAGTCAGTGACGGGTGCAGGACCAGAGTGGGCTCTGTGACATCTGCACTGTATCCTTATATAGGTCAGTACGTGTAGGCCATCTTCACCAGAAGGTGGCGCTGCTCTATTCAACTCTATTACATTTGAATTAGCTATTAGCGCCCTGGCAGATCTTTTCTTGGACCCACATCACTGTGTTGTAATGGGACAAATGCAACATCTCACATTCTCTCCGTGTCTTGGCTAACACACACACATGTTCACCAACCACAGTCAACATCAGGAGGAATGAACATATTTAGTCAAGTTGATGCTATAAACTAGGCTACCACAGATTTAGCTTTGCTAGTGGGATTAAAAAGAAGCTGGTTAACCAGGGGTTCTCACAGGCTGACCGGATCACTCTCACTCAACAGTTATTTCCAATAAACCAGCTTCTGTATATCATACACATATTATATTGAATATTTTCCCACTTATCTTATGAGGAACACTTTGTTTGGTTTACTTTGCTAAACATTTTAAAACGCCCCATACCATGTTATGGAAATTAGACATAAAGGAATCTGCACAAACAGGTTGTCAATGTGAGGTTTTAATTTGTCTTTGCAAAGGGGTCAACAACAACAGTGCATCAGCAGACTGCA